CCCCAAAACCCCAAAACCCCAAAACCCCAAAACCCCATGAAAGTTTTATGCAATAATTATAGAATGATAAAATAATAATAAAATGGTTTGTGAATAATTATCTCAGCACCTATCTCCAGTTTAGTCACCTTGCTCTTTAATCCAGCTTATTCTAAATATATTAATACCAGGTACAGGCACTATATTGAACGCTTGCACAGCACAAAAATGCAACGTGGTTTCAATTATTGTTGGTTTATTGTAATTAGGACTGTCATATATTTTCATTGGGTGGATATGGTCAGTATGGTGGGGTATTTTGATTGTAGAAAAAAGTAAGCATCTCTGAATAGTAGAAAATTCATTTATCCTAATAATGGTTTTGGAAGAGAGTAGATATATTGTATAGTAGAGAGAATTAAACTTAATTTCTTAAAGAATTTTTAGAGAATAATGTTAATTATTAAAATGAATATGTATATAGATTAATGAAGCTGTATTTTCAAATTATGATGATCATTCATGAATTTTTGAGGTGATTCTATCTAGTATTATATTTTAAACAATCCATTTTCGAATTACAGAATGCTGAATCCTTCTCTCATTCACTAACTAGTCTCATGTGAATTCTTCCTGCAGATTCTGCAGCCTCCATTTCTAAATTCATATCCTCGTATTAAGTAAGCTCAAGATCGGGATTCTAGGTCATAAATTTTTATAAATCGTTATAAAATTTTCTTGATGTCTAGAGTAAAGCAGCTCTATATACTGCTTATGTAACTTTATTCAGCTGAAAATATTGAAATTTATGTAGAAAAAATACCTTCAAATCAATCTGAAGCAGTAATGTAGCCTTTACTTGACAAGTATCTGGAATAACCTCAAATTTATGAAAGCCTAATACTATATTAGTTCTGATAACATCATCAAGTGGAGGATAATCCTATTTGAAATCTTAGATTAAAATATTTACTTCATTGTCGATCGAACTAAAATAATAATAGTGCTTTTGATATTCACTATTTCTTGATTGTGTTCTAAAGTGTATTTTCTTCTCATAAAAATCTCTTTTAGATCCTCCTATACCAACTGCCTTGTTTTGAATGTAAATTATTGACAATCTATTTTGCTTATTAAGTAATGTGCTATATGAGATATTGGTATCCCATCTCTATCTTGATTCTAGTCTATGCAACTAATTATGAATTATTAGGAAGGGATGTTTACACAATGAATAACTTGAGAAATTGTAAATTTTGGATCGAAACAGTATTCAGTTTTAAAAATTGGCACTGTTTTACAAAAAGGAGTTCCATTCTATTAGTCTTAATGAGAAACAGTAGCTTACATCATTTACATTAACTTTTACTTGCAATGTGTTCAAAATAGGCTTGAAACCTTGGTAATTGCATATCTACTCAAAAATATTGATTAATCCTGTCTTAGTCTACAAACCATAATCAGAAATTAAAGAATAATAAGAGGTGCTTACAAACATAATATCTGTCTCATGCTTATTAATTAAATCGTCTGTTAATTCCCAGAATGCATCTGAATCTCCAGTTGGCTTACCTGGTGATGAAAGTTTTTAATGTTGTCTTTTATAACTATTAGAATTTTAAAATCTGCTATAATTCGGCTCATAATAGGAATCGTCTTTCCTATCAAGTGAATTTGAACAACATATAGCTCCCATTTTAGAGTGTATTAAATTTAATTGTTTAATAATTCGAATAAATTTATAAGTAAATCATGTATTTAATCAAGAATGGTCAGATTATTTCAATATACGGGGTTTTGGGGTTTTGGGGTTTTGGGG